TTTCCCACGGTCTCCAACCCTCCTCCTTTCTCATCCGGTCTTTGGACCGGCCATGGCGGAGTTATTATTCAAATCAGAAGATGAAAATACGTGACGGTCTTAGAACATGCATATTCTACATTTTTCTGAAGGCAGAGACATGAACTCCAAACCATAGCCGGAGATTTTAATTTATTGCAATTTCGCACTGCATTGCTACGGTTGTTTTGTTCGAACCTATATCAATATCAATTATTCCTTCTTTTGGTAATTCCCATGTATATGTTAACTAATGAACTCAAGTATGTATGTACTTTCTTTGATAGATGTTGAGAAGTTCTGCTGAAAATGTGTAAATGTTAAAATTTCGCCTCGTTTCACTTATTCCTCATATTTTACACCACCCTCGATTTCTGAATGAGCATTTTTTTCGCATTCGCTTGGTGCAAAATATGTACGATACGTGGATAGGCTAAGTAACGGTGTAAGCTATTTCAGGGTTCAACTTCATTCCTTAATGAGCAGCAGTTTCTCAACTAATAGATCAACCTCTAAATTGGTTCTCTATAGAATAAGGAAGGAACGGGTACACTGGGCACTAAAAATGCACCACTTCATCGAAATGAACTTATCCTGGTTTCTTCCTTGTAGTAAATGGCCTAGGCGATAATTCTATTGCAGTACATAAGACGAACCCTCAGAGAATGGTGGAAACAACGCACCCTTTACTTCCAAATTTAACCTTTTTCATATTACTTTAATGCTCGTAGGTAACCAGGTGTGTCGCTGAAGGTTTGTCGATCTGTTAGCTATCCGAATACGCCATGAATTTCACTTTCCCTTATATGCGACTTTCGTCATTGCAAATGAAAATTCAAACGATCCATTATGCTGAGTGGTATGTCTGATGCAAGATATCTAAGTATCCCTGCTTATTAAATTGCATTATTACTTTGATAAAGTTTGTTCTCATTTTTAATGGTCATGTACGATTTTTCGCCACACATCAATCACAGACACGAAACACACTTTCAAACGACTAAGTAGTGAACAAGAAGATGTACTTGCCCTTTGTGATACCTTCGGTCGGAAACGTTTTAAAACGAATACCTAATGTTGAAGTTGAAACATTTACACAAATACTCCTAATACTAATTTCTGAAACCGCAACAATTCAAGAAACCTGAGGTCGTGGTAATCATGCATGACTTTAACTTGAAATATTTACAGACGACAATTATTATTTAGATGGAACAAGGTTTAGCCGGAGTTTTAAACTTTCATCACCCAATTAATGAAACTCACCGACCGACTATGAATTCATTGAACAGGAGATGCCCCCTAATCTAAAAGGATGACAAGATCGCTAGTCACGAAAATAGAATATTGGACAATTCTTGGAGATGCAACGGATGTGGCGTACCAGATCGACTGCCTGGCTTGCATTCCACGATACATTGACCAGAAATCACGGTCATTGCGCGCCATAGTTTCAGAGGATAACCGAGCCAGCAAGCGAGCGGTCGTGGGCCAAGATGCATTGCGAAAGTTGAAAACAACTTTTGCACCAAATGAACACGTCATCGATTCGGCGATTACGGTACCGATTCTGACGGCATGGATCATCTATGAAAGAGGAAAGGGTCTAGCAAAAGTATTTCTGCTTCAGGTAGAGGGAAATGTCATGAATCGAGACTGTAGGCTAGCAACGTCGAAAAAGCTGATTAGCATACGGAAATGGCTAGCAAGGAAATACAATTCCAATCGGAAGTATGGAAACAATGGACCATTTCGTGTGTATCTGCTAAAGATGATGCGTTCCTGATGAGAGACAGTAAAGACTAAGCTAGTTGACAAGAATTAATATTGACAGAACATCGGACTGTTGCCATACAGCTATAGAATCAATGGGATGTCGATGAGTAACGTCATCATTTGGCTGATGAAAGCTGGAAACTCTGGCTGAAGCCTGGACCCATTTAAGCAGAAATTGTCACATAAATACTCATAGTAAAAGCTTTCCCTGATTATATGTGAAAGACAGATAAAAAGGCACCGGATATTGACAAGTTGAAGCACGGTGCTTAGGAACTTTTCATTCTAGCATCGCGGAGCCCTGGTCTGCAAATGATGGTCGTCTTAAGTCTCAAGACTGAAAATTTTAGCACGATTATACAGCTTAGCTCAGCGCAGTGATTACATTGCACATCAGTCCTTATGGATAAATATATAGACCACGCTTCATTCATTTATAAATAAACATCATTACGCTCATAGCTACCCTTTCAACATGCAACGTGCATGTCTTCGTTTGATCAAGATTCGCCGTGACGGAATTTTGCTCACATCGAGCAAGAAAGCTATCGATCAACGATCTCAGTAACAGCGCGATATACATTTTCATTTTACCAATGTTATATACTGAGAGGCTTTTAGAGAAGCGCTGTCTACGGTAGAATTTAATAAACAGCTTTGTAACAAGTTTTAAGCAACATTTAGCATGTTTAGCATATACAGCTAATATTACATCGAGCAACGGGAAGACGCAGTCCAAGAGACGTGTAAAAGCATCAAAGTCGTTTGGAAAGTGAAGCATGACGTAATCGAATATTGACTGATATTTCACACTGCAAATAAAATCACTGTTATGAGCTTCTTAGCGATTATTTCAATTGATCGACGAATCCGGCAAAGTCTTCAACATCCTTCAACTGCAGCTGCGATTCGGACGACACC